CGTGGGAAACACACAACATCTGCTCTCCTTATACACAGATGATGTCCTTTTATTTATCACTAATGCACAGCTCTCAGTTACTATTATCTAGGCACTCATTGCGTCGTTTTATATCAGAGACATATAGTGCGCTGTGCGCAGAGCATGAGGTGTCCTGCAATGCCAGTAGAATGGGGTGGGACCTAGATTTCAATGTTCAGATCTCAGATGATGTCTGGGCTGATATTATATGGAGGACACATGCTAATTTAAGTAGTAACCAATTTGCAGAGAGGCAGTTTAAAATTGTACACAAATTGCACATTACTCCCTTTATGCTATACAAATAAGATTTTACTATCTCTGGAAAGTTTAATAAGTGCTCAGTGCACTCAGGTACTGACAAACACCTTATATGGTCGTGTTGTTTTATAAGGGCATTTTGGGTAAATATTTGTACAAAGAAAAGAAAGATTACTAAAATGGCTCTTCCACTCGATCCCAGAGTTCTGGTACTTGCTGCTTCTGTCGGCAATATTCCCAACAGAAGAGACACTTTTAAGAGGTGGCAAGGAAATACATTCTTGATAAACAAACCTCCACAGTCACATACTGGTACAGCACTCTGTTCAATTCGCTTCCCTTAGAAAGGCTAAGCTACCTGGAGAATAATCCTCTGGACAGATTCATAAAAATTTGGGACCTTTTCTTGCAATATATAGGTGAAGACATATCCAAACTATTTAAACGTTGGTTAAATGGGTTTGGGAACATTTTATTTCCTTTGTCTTATCTTGTAATGTGATTGATGAGCTGGTATACCTGTATTCAATGCTGAACTGTATGCATATGTTAAAGCTCTACTGAGTCAATGAAATAAAATGTTAAAAAAAAATTTTTTAATGAATGGGGTGCTACACACACACACTCATTTCATTCTTAGCAGAAATGTGCTACATGTTTTTTCCACAGTTAATTTATGTACTTAATACTCTGACAGTGTAAAATATATCTATTATAACATGAACATCTATTTCTATGAAGAAGATTTTGTTGGTTGCACAAGTTACAAGTCAGTACTTGCCAGAACCACCTTTGATTGCAATTCCAACTGCAAGTTTTTTGGCATAAGTCTTGACAAGCTTTCCACATCTCGATCTTGCAACTTTTCCCTATTGTAGGAGAAGTCTTGCCACAGATTCTCAGTCGGAATGAAGTCTGGGCTTTGACTGGCTATTTTACAACATTCGAGTTCTTGATTTTAAAACACGCCAGTGTAGTTTTGGCTGTATATTTAGGGTCCAGCTGCAAGGTGAGCCCCTACCCCAGGCTCAGGGCTGTTGCGGACAAACAGGATTTCCTCTCCAAGTATTTGGCTCCATTGACCTTGAGAAGAAGCAGCAGGGAAACATGAGCATTTTGTACCCAGTCAGTAGTGAAGGAGTTTAATGTTCTGAACCAATCGTGCTGTCCTTGATAGTGGATTCATGTGTAGCCCTTATACATGAATCTTCACGGGACAAAATAAAGTTCAAGAGTAGTTGGAGCCACATAATGATTGGCTACAGTATATGACATTATTCAAGGGTAACAATGGAGATGTTAAGTGTCTGTATTATACATTATCATTGCCACCGAGTGTACAGTACTGTCCATTCCTTACACCAATCAAATAGCTCCCCGTCTTCCTCTCCAGCTATATCTCGCAGTGCCAGCTCCACGGGGAACCATAGCCACAACAGGATGTGGCTAATTCAGAAATAAACAGGCTTGTTCAGGAAGCAGATATCAGCCCATGGTATCATATAGAGATACCTCTTTAAAACTCTTTAAATACCCAGTCGTCCAACTGACCTGTTGCCAATTAGCCTAATTAGTTGTGAAATATTCAAGCAGATGTTTCTGTTTTTGCATTACACTTTTCCAGTCTTTTGTTGCCCCTGTTCCAACTTGAGCGTATATTTAAATTTGTCATAAAACGCTACAGTTTCTCAGGTTCCACATTCGATGTGTTGTCTTTGGATGTGCAATGTGTGTATTATTGATTGAATAATGAAGTGTCTGAAATAGAAACTATATTCCATTTATATATTTAATTTTAAACGTGTAGCCAGGCACTCGTGGGTTCTGGCCCAAGTGGTCACATGTGTGGACTATATGCTGAGTGAACGGTCCTAAACCTTTTTTTTTTACAGCCCCATTTCCAAAAAAGTTGGGACGCTTAGTAAAATGTAAATAGAAACAGGATGCGGTGGGAAGCCAGTGTAAGCCGGTGTACTAAAGGAGACTCACACACAAAGGCCACAGACGGTGGGAAAAGACACCAATGTACCATCATGCGATCAAAGTAAACAGAAAATGGGCAAAATCAACAAATTGAAGATCAAAGGGCACAAAAAAACAGAATGAACCCAGAAACCAAAAGGCTGATACTTCAGCAAAGCGTATACTTTTATTTAACTATTTGTATTACAATGTTTTTATGAAAGCATAAAAGAAAACGTCTTAAACAGTTCTTAAAATTTTAAAACCATGCTGCTACTACTAATTTTTGTTATATCTAAAGATTTTCAATATGATGCCTCACTTGAATAACAAAGAAAACAAAGTAAATATGAGCCAGATGTGGTACATACTGTAGCATCAGTGCAGGAGGTTATCTACATGTTTGACCATAAATAAGTCTAACTTACATATAACTTACAGGTCATCTGCAATTAATTATAATTTACATCCAGGTACTTCCATAATTTCAAATTATATTACAAATTATTATAAAAAATAATACTGTCTTATAGTCTGTGTTGCAACATAATTTTTATCTGATTCTCAAAGCTCCAAAAAAACCAAATCCTTTTTGCCAGCATTTACCCCAATGCTGTTATCGCTGCATATGATGAAGGCGAGAGCTGTAGATATGTATGAAATATTTTCTAGTTGTAGTCAAACTTCCTCGCATCACATAGAAAAAAAGATATATGTTGCTCATACAGGTGGGAAAGAAAACAATCACACAATCTAATTTTTTTAACCTTCCCAAAGACTGTAATCTAATACTCAACAAACAGCACACAGGTCAACATGTGAAAATTGACTGACTGCAAGAGAAATACTACATATTGATGTCTGTGGATGTAGCTGTGGTGTCACAAGAAGGAAAGAAACACAGCTCAGCTGTCCTAGCCAGTGCAGTGTCCTCTCTGCCACCATACCGCAGACACTCAGTGGTGTGGCCGGGGAATGAAAGCAGACCCCAATCCCAGCATGCACTCTGCTTTGACCAGTGTACCCCTTTTACAGTACATACATTGGAACATTATTCTTAAACTCTATTTGACATGGCCTGGTACTTTCAATGAAGCATGGGTACTTGCTTTATTTACTTCAGAGGTCAAGAATAATCTCTCTGTGAAGGATGGATACTTGCTTTGTTTAACTTAGAGATCAAGAATAATCTCTCTGTGAAGGATGGGTGGCACGGTGAGTTGGTAGGTGCTGTGCCAGGCACAATGTTGCAAAGGTAAAAAAAAAAAGTCAACATACTACTCTAACAGCCCTAGATCATTAGATCAGCTACTATACATGCATATCGCAAAGGCAACATGGTTATTTGTCAAGTTGCTGAATGCATAGCCCCCCACTGCTGAGATGGTAGCACACATTAGTAATTTACTTGTAAATGCAAGGCTGTATCACATTTATTTATAGCTTTTAGCCATATAATTCTACTCTATCATTTCTTTAAATAATATAGGCATAAAAAGTTATTTATCTCACTGTTTATCACAATTCTGCAGAAGAATTTTAACTCTAGAAACAGCCCTTCCTGTCATGTGTATGTAAAGTTGGTCACAGCAAGTATAATATGTACAACACATAGTGAACAAATACGAAGCTAAGGTCTCAGTTACCTAAGCTGATAATGTAATGATTGTGCTCTATGAAGTTATACCATTGAGGAAACAGATTAATGAAGAACTTGTGTATTCAACTTCACTTGTCAGAATTGCATAATAGCCATTATTAAAATGCACAACAAAACCTACAAAGGGGTTAAAATGATCATGAAAAGAAGACAATGTAATGCCAATAGAAAAATTCACATTATAAACCTGGTTAAATTATGTATTACTGATATTCCTGATGATATCATAATATGATTCATAATCAAATCATTTTTCAGTGTAACTGTAGTTTTCAAACATTGTCCAATACAACTACAATAGGGAGCATGGGAAAAGAACCAGTTCATGACCAATACATGGACATTATTGTCTTATAGTTAGATTATAGCTATGATTCTTATAGAAACAATTCAGTAAAGGGAATGTAAATGGTTTAATTGATCAAAAAATAATGATAAATGCTTGTGTGTAAAAGCCAACAAACACTGTGCTTGCTCTTTAGCCGAAAGTTTTTTAGGAATTTCTGCAGTGAGAACATGTCTACCACAAGAGAGACATTGGACACTTATCAATAAGTGCTCTTACTTTTACAAGCAGACGGTACCCATGAATGTGTGTGGCATGTTTCAGGAAAACTGATTGTACATTACAGGGTATCCATCCATCAGTCCATCGATTGTCTGCTTATTTAAAACAGGATCGTGGAATGATGGGATTGTAGCATCACTTTGACTACACTGATAGTGTGGAACATTGAAAAAGAGATTGCACATCCATTTACAGTGTATATTCAGATCTTAATATTGTGTTTTTATATCAACATATCCTTGTAACCTGGGTGACCATGCCTCAGTTTGTACACTTTTCTAATGTCAGCTGTACACTGTCCATATGCTAGGAGCCCAGTCCTGTTTCCTGATGAACACGACATATGAATAGAACACAGGCTTCATGTGTTCCTGGGCACACAAATGACTGCACTGGCTCAGGTCACGTCATCTGGAAGTGCAGCATTTAATTTGACAGTCCTGAGCAAAGGTATGACATGAACCACTGCGTAGAAGCTTTCATTACTACAGTCACTGTATCCCGCCCCACCGCCTCCCAGTCCCCCCCCCCCCCAGGTCGTCTCCGTTTCAGGATTTCTCTCCATCCACTGTGGACATGCCAATATGGGAGCCATTTTTTAAGGGCAGAGTCAGATCACTTTCTGCAGGATCTTCTGTTTTATAATTGACCGGAGTGTACGCTGCATTGTGCTTTGTGTTTTTCTGTGAAGAGAAAAAAAGTAATCGATTAAACATATATATAATATATATATAATAGATTAAATAAAAATATAAATCACGGTAGCTTAAAAAAAGTTTTTTTTGTGACCTGATTGTAACGTTCGCTAATGAGATTACCTTCTGCTGATGGAACCTGAAGACAAGGATAATGAATACCAGAAGCATGATGACCCCCAAACCAATAATCAGCAAGGGGAAGTTGGAGACCAACTTCTCTATAAGCAGTAACTTCTTCATCTTCATTGATGAAGCATCATCGATCACCACTGACTGGAAATACATTAAACGATCGTTTAAAAAAATATATCATGTAAAACAGTTACTACAAGATGAAGAAATAAGGAACTAAGTACATTGTAGTGCTAGGGAGAGGTCCAGGGGAAGTTAAAATTAAGACAAAGATGGTATCTTACCTCATTTATAAACATAACTGGGAAGATAGTCCGATTCAGATATTTTGTTGCCCTAATAGAAAGTAGAAGACATTTTCAGATCAAGTTTTTAAACGGGCATTAATTTTTCTAGGTTAAGCAAACTTATTCCACACTTACTTCAGAAAACCATTATCCAGTAAGGGCATTTTTTATTTACAACCACAAAGGTAACACTTTATTTGACGGGGCACAAATAATATAGTATTAGGCTATTACTTAGGTATTAACTAACCACAGTTTAAGTCTTAGTTACATACTGATCTCAGGTTAATTCATCATTAATGAATCATGATGCATGTTTTATCTCAAGCTGTTGCTATATTCGTTACTATATCTGTTAATTCTGTAAACCTTTGTGCACTATTGAAGGAACAAGTAATGAATAACACAAGTGAAATACTGATCTCGTTTTTTAATCATTAATGAATAGTGCCGCATGTTTTATGTGAAGTAGCAACTATATTTGTTCACAATTTGTTCATGATCTGTAGTTCAGTAGTAACTGAGTTGTTATACTTTTTTGGTATAATGAAGTGTTACCACATTGAATAATGACATAACTGATTATGTGGTGCAGGACTGGGGCACTATAAAGGGGGGAGATGAGTATCAGGGGCCCTAAAAAATTTGAAACATAACTGAACTGGTCTGGGGTGGGGAGCCTAACATGATACGCTTTCACGGGGCCCAAAAACTCTAGCAACACCCCTGCTGCAGAGAACCTGGAGTCCATCTCAAGAAACACAGGACAAGAGGCTGGGGGAACTATGGAGGGGAGTAAAGTCCATCAGACACACTCCCCTTGGGCCATTTAGAGAAATCAATTTACGTAACAGTCTGTGAGAATCAAACCTACTGTCCCATAGGTGTGAAGCTTCAGTGCTATCCTTCAAACCACTGCGTCATGCTAATATTGCATTCGTTATTTGTACTTGCTGACACTAATCGGTACAGCATTTTTCTGGTAGGAGTACCTGCAGAAAAGGAGGCCTATTTTCTACTTACGGGAAACCGCTGATTCTTTCCAGAAGGATATTTATTTGAGCTCTTTTGGAGGCACGAACAGGAATACCGGTGGTCTGCAATATGAATATAATATAAAACAAATACCTTATATAGAAAGCATAACATGGTATATGGAAAGCATTCTACCACTGGTAATTTTCTGTGTTTTGCTAAGTTTAAATCTCATTTCTAATTCTTATGACTACATCTATTCTATGAACACTCGATGGTAATGTGCACACAGTGGCCAGTTTATTACGTACACATAGTTCTAAACACAAACAACCTGTTCCTCTGAATAGCAAGTCATGTGGTTTGCAGCTGAATGCAGGCAGAGTCAAGAGGTTCAGTTACTGTTTGGCTGAGCATCTGAACAGCTAAGATGCCTGATCTAACCGATTTTGAATGCGGTGTGTTTGTTGGTGCCACTTGTGGCATTTCAGAAATTCAGCAGCAGCCACTTTTCTGGGAACTTTCGCATAAAACACTTTCTGGAAATCACAGACAATAGTGCAATAACTGGGTTGGGGAAAGAACAACAGTATAAGTGGCAGTTTTGTGCATAAAAAACACCTCATTAATAACAGAGGAGAAATGCCAGGCTCGTTAAAGCTAACAGGAAGGTCATAAGTGCAAAAATAACAGCTTGGTACAACAGTGGCATGCAGAAAGGCATCTTTGAATGCGCAACTCATACCCTTGACATGATTATGGAGGTAGAAATGGCACCTACACAGTGCTGGCTAGGTGTACCTAATAAAGGGACCGTATATAATACATATATCTGCCAGTCTATGTCTCTGAGTGTCTGAAACTGCTACAGGTACAAACCCATATACTCCTCTACCTTTGAAGCAATTCTAAACGAAAGAGTCCTACTCAGACTAGAGAGGTGTGCATAATAAGGTGGCCATTGAGTGTATATTGTCTTATTTGCACAATTATTTTTAGGCATAAACAAATAAAAAGAATACTCTATAAGGTCAGAACACATAAAGTACACTGTCAGAAAAAAGGTACCAATTTGTACCTTTGAGGGTACAGTGACTTGTCACTGGAGCTGTACCCTAAGGGGTCTGCCAATTGTACCCTAGCTGTAAGTTAATGTACCATTTAAGATACAGAAATGGACTCTGAGGAGCATTTTTGTATCATTAGGGGTACATTAATGTTGTTTGTACCTTGGGGAACAAACCTGTATGAGGGCTGCACCATTTTTTCTGACAGTGTGTACCATAGAATCATATAATAAAAGGACTCGCATATGAGGAAATTAAGGTAACTTTTCCATTGTATTGTTAATTACCTGGGCCAAGTAATCAAATTTATACAGTATTAAAAAATGAAATGAGGTACTGTACACTAAAATATGAACACTGGATAAAATGATACTCCTTTGTTAATTTATTTAAGTTTGAACAAGCCCCCTGTACCGGATTAATGTCAAGATATGTTTGATGGTCCTCTTGGTTTGGAGACAACCCGTCAATGGCCTGAACATATTTCCTGTCTCCCAGGTAGAAATGGGGAAATGAGACGATGACAGGGGCCCCTGTAGCGACAGGAGAATGACATGTCACCCTGTTTTCACTGATAATGCACAGGGGTAATATTCGCATATACATCTGTCAAAGCAAAACTCATGGCACACAAGATAAAAAAAGTGCAACAGTCTAATAATAATCCTCTTTCTCTTCTGTGTGAGAGGCCATTTGTGGGAAAGGAAACACCATCTGACCCCAATCTTGCACTCTGTATTCATTTGAAATGCTGTGGACTCCAAGAACACGATGTATTCATCAGGGAACAGTTTTGAAAAAGTAACAATACTTTCCAAAGCCAGTATTTAGGGCTATAGATTATTGGGCCCCAATCCTGAACCGAAAATTCCTACTTTGATACGTGTCTTGCTGTGTTCAGACTTGGCAGATGACATGTTTGACTGGACTAGGGATGACCTTTCTTACCATCACGGCAAACGCTGACATCAAGCACGCCCGTGCCTAGGCAGTTGCCAGTGGTCACACAGAACCCAGCGTTAGCAGGGTTCTCCTCAGCGCTGGCCAGAACTTCTCGAGGAGGTGCGAAGCGGTACGCAGGGATCCCTTTGACCTCCACATCTTCTATGTACTCCATATATATGGACCTTCATGTAATGTGAGACAGAGCAGAAACTCAGCCAACGCACAGACCCTCATGCATGTGCAGAGATACATTCCATCACAAATTCATACTCATATATATGCTCCAAATGAATCTTAGCTTAATTTACAATCAAAGTTTTGACATTGTCTAACTAGACGTGACAGCATGAAACAGACCTGGGCAAAAGCCAGCATATGGGCCGTATCCAGGCCAGAAGGAGCTATTCTTACTGTTAATAAACTTTAACAGGTTTTATGTGTAAATCTAAAAATATCTGTATAGGTGTTTGCCCACACAGTATTCTTTGAATTAATAATAAAATATAAATATTCTTCACATGAAATATATGCCTGCCTTATCCTGTTCTGTCTGTTTCCCTGTTTGGCCAGCAAGTGTCGCTAGCCATCCTGTTCTTTCCCCAGTTTTTAGCTCTGTCCTGTGCCTAATGTGTTCCCCTATTCCCCAGGCCGCCATGTGGCTGAATGGGCTAAGCGGGCAGCTACAAACCAAGCCTTGTGCACTAGGGCCTATTTGTATACTATGCTAATTATGTTTTCTTGTCTTTCTGCATAGCTCCTTGATTTGTACCTTTGTTAGTTATCCTTACTTGTAGTCACATCATGTTTCACCTGTGTTCTTTGTACCTCCTAGCATTTGATTCCTGAGTCCTTAGTGCCTGTTAACAATCCTCACCTGTTCCCTATAGTTCCTAGTCATTTGTATGTAATTGGTAATAACCCATACCTGTCTCTTGTTGTCATGTGTGCATATAAGCACCTACCTCTGCCCTGTTCTTCGGTTGTGAGTATTGTTACTGCTGTGTGTTTGCTCTTGTGTGTTCCCTGTATGCACAGAGAGTTGTTGCTAGCCTGCATATTTTCCCCTCTATGTCTATATGCTTTAGTTCTACTCTTGCTGGTTTTGGATAGTCCCTTTTGGTTGAGTTCAGTTTGTAATAAATGAGACCCAGCTGGTTTTCTCATCAGGCAAAACATAAGTGGTATACAGACAGAGTAAAGCAGTTATGAAGGAAATTGCTCTTGATAAAATTGTTTCTATCATAGCAGCCTTGTGTGCCAAAATATTCCCATGGCATCAACATGACAATAAGAAGACGTCGCCCATTATAGGTGAAAAGTCACAGCCATAAAAACATGACCTCCATGCAAATGCTGGGGTCAAATTTTCCACTGCAGGAATTTTTAGCACAGTAGAGCTGTCATTTCCATAATCACTTGTTTACTTCAGTCAAGGTTGTCCAGATAATTTTAGTACATTGTGTGTGTGAATGTGTGTGGTTTCATGGTTACACAAACATGAATTTAATGATCTACAATTAATGGACAGTGAATTATTTATAAAACATATTGTCTTCTAACCCAGAAATAAATCCACATACTGCTTAGATTTAAAGTAAACATTTTGTGAAATTGAAAAGAAATGTTTTTTTCATAACAGTTTTATGAACATTAAATAGATGTTTGTTAATTTACTGTAAAGGTTAGGTATCTCTAAAATGAAGAATGCTGCATTACCGAGAATCTTCCTCATTTGACAATATACTTTTGTTGGTTAATAATTCAAATTAAAATCCTAAACAGTAATAAATAGTAGATTTTTTTTAAATTTTAATTCATCGAATGCAGGAGTCAAAGCACAAAAGACTCACCTTAATTGTATGGATTTTTTTTTTGGGATTGGTCATTAAATCACAGAAAATCACAGAATAAAAATGTATTTGAGCATTGAGATTATTTTAATCTGGCACATTGTGGTTCGTAAAGTATGATGAAAATGGAACCAGTGCTTGATAACTTTTTACTACTGAGTGCTATTTTATTGTTCATTTATTAAAGTTGTGCATAGTTCAGAATGTAGTGCTAATCTCTAAAGCAGTATTTCCCAACGTGCTCCTCAGGGACCGATAGCCGGTCCATGTTTTTTCTCACTCCCAGCTCCCGCTAAAACGTGGACTGTCTGTGGGTCCCCAAGGACCGGATTGGGAAGCACTTCTCTAAAGAGTTTTTACTGGCACTGACTTTGCCAACCCCGCCTACCAACCTGCAGAGGTCGGGAGAGAAGACATCGAGGCGCTCCTTCCTGGACAGAAGTGGGTGGAAGGTGCTGCCGTCGGTGCCGTTGATCATGTTGCTCTGGTTGGAGGACCACCACGTCAACCGGCTGCAAAGAGGACAATGCTGGAGAAATGAACACATCCTGCTCCCAGTACATGCATTAAAAAAAAAAAGTGTGTTAAAAATTCAATATCAGGATGTTTTCTCTTGACATATGATCATTAGAGAAACTGGGTTAAAGGGTATACACTATGACTCACTAAACTCACATATACATTGTAATTGCTAATATAACTTATGAAGTCATTGGGACACACATTTTGACTCAGAGACAGTTTTCTTTGCAGCTATACAAATTTCATTTTTCTTTTCTTTTTGCTTTTCTCTTGCTTTTGAATGATCCTTTATACTTCCTGTTACCTTTCGCCGTTCCATGCAACTACTTTGGTGTAGTCCAAGGAGTCACTTTCACCCGTGAGGAAAACAAAATGATTGTCTAGGCTTCCATTTTTCTGGCAAGAGAAATAAAGAAAGTGTGTTTTTTTCCAGGTCCTAACAGCAACTATTATAATGCCAGTATATAAAAAACAATAATCAAAAATTGTAGATCTATATTCTATTGAAGGAATTGCAGAAGTAATCATTAGAGTCAAATAAATATTCAGATTATGCCTTCACCACAACCTTGCTGAACAGATAAGAGATCGAATGGTAAAACACACCAAAATAGTTTTCAGGACTCCGTCATAGATCTGTGAGTTAGCAAGAGTCAGCTTTGAGCCATATTGAATTAAGACAAAAAGTCAAGATGTCCATAATATGTACGTGTACTTTATGTACACCCTCGCACACTCATATACCCTCACTGCCACTTTATTAGAACACCAGTATAGCTGCTCGTTCACACAAATATCTAGTCAGCCAATCATGTGGGATCAATTCAGTATGTAAAATCATTCAGACATGGGTCAAAAGCTTCAGTTAATGGTCAGTTCAAAAATGATAATGAGTACAAAGGTGATTTATGATTGTGGCATGGCTGTTGGTGCCAGGTGGGGTGGGCTGAGTATTGCAGAAAGTGCTGATCTCCTGGGATTTTCACACATTTGAACAGTTGAATGGCATACATCCAAGGACCCAACTTATGTCAACAGTTCAGGCCAGATGATGTAGAGATGTGGTGTGTCATTTCCCCTAAAACCGACATCATTTAAGAGCCACAGCCACATCTGAGTATTGTTACCTATCACGTGTATCGTTTATGGCTAAAATGTACCCAACTTCCACTTAAAGCAGGACAATGCGTCATCTCACTAAGCAGAAGTCCTGTCAAGCCTGGTTTCATGAACATAACATTGAGTTCAGTGTAGTTCAATGATCACCAGACCTAAATCCCAGAGCACATTTAGGTTGTGGTGGAACTGGTGATTCAAAGCTAATAAATCTGCAGACATTGCAAGATTTAATTTTGTCAATATGGACCAGGATCTCTAAGGAATGTTCCCAACTCCATATGCAGTCCATGCCACAAAGAATTCAATTCTGGCTGTTCTGAGAGCAAAGAGGCTCCCGCAGTATTAGAATGGTGTTCCAAATAAAGTGGCCAATGAGTGTATAAGGTACCAGTCAAAAGTTTGGACACTCCAAGTCACCTACAAAGGACAGCGATAATGTCTCATACAGTAGAAATTATTTTGGAGGAGTTTGACCAGAGAGTGAAGGAAAAGCGGCCAGTGAGTGCTCAGTGTATACTGTATATGGGAGCTTCTTCAGGACAGCTGGACAAGCATCCCAGGAGGCCACCTCATCAAACTGGCCTAGAGGAGACACTAGGGTCAGCCCGTCCCTGGAGCAGTTGGGGTTAAGGGTTGTGCGATGCTGGGATCACTCTGCCGACCCAAGGATTTGAGTCCCACCCCAAAGAGCTGCCTCCCCCAGCAAATTATTTTTTTTGTTGAATACACTTTTAGTTAGTGCATAATTCCATATGTTATTTAGCAGTTTTGATGTCTTTTTGATGTCTATAGTTATTCTAAAATGTAGAGAATAGCACAAATAAACCTTTCTATAGGTGGGTGGGTCCAAACTTTTGACTGGTAATGTATATACATAAAAAATATTTTAATATTAGACACTGGCATTGAATATTTGTCTGCCTTTGAATCATCACTGTTTCATGAATGTTACAATGAACACGTTTCCTTTGTCTGTCCCCACACAAAGAACATACGCCCGCCTGTGCGATGGGTCATACCTTGTACATGAGCCCAAAGTACTCGTGAATCTCAGGCTTTGAGGCACGAAGGCGTGTCAGCAGCGGGTCTTTGAAACCCCACAGCAACTCATGAACAGGTCGTGTCATGAAAAGCCCAACGCCTAAGGACTTCATCCAGATGGACACCATACTGCTCGTCCAGAAGCTGCCCTTCACTTTGTTCATCACTGCCTGTCATTAAAAACAATAACAATTAATTAGAGACAAAGAATATTTGGCCATGGCTATTTGTTACCTTGTAATCAGAGAGTGTGATCTGGAACCATTAACCCCTCCTAAATGTACAGAACAATAAAACACCAAATCTAATGTCAAATCGATACAGAAAACAACCCGAGATGGTGTTTTTTGAAAAATTACATCCATTATCAAATTGATTACGTATCAAAATGTGCAGTTTATATCAAACAGCATCTGTAACAGAGATTTTTTTTTTTGTTGCTGTAAAGCTATGTTTTGCTGAGAAAAGTCATGCTGCAACGATTAGGTAGGCATATGGATGTTTTTGAAGTTGATATTGGAACTGACATCGGCAGATTGAATTCTACATTCCCAGACATGCTTTGAGTAGAAAACAGAACAGGTGGTAAGGTCTCAGTTAAGTTCAGGGGACTCACCACTGCAGGGATGTTAACAATTGTCACAAGGTCAACTTCTGGGTCACCGGCTGACATGTCCCTCTCAAATACAAAAGTCTTTGGACTATAGGCAGAGACTTTAGTTCCATTCTCCACAAAGGTCACATTCTCCCTGGGCCTGTATTCCCTGGTTAAATTAATTAAATTTTTAGTTCATCAATTGCTGAAGAATCAGATTAGAAAAGTTGTCATTATTAATCTGATGATTGTTGTATTTTCTTATTGCAAATTTGTTCTCGGTTTGAAAAATGGGATAAAATTGTGTATCTAAATCCCTTTTGCCCAGACGTTGGGTAATTGGGTGTTCAGGTTCAGCATCTTTACGATTAAGAATAAGGATCCTCTTCATTTGACAATATACCCATAAATGAATAATAATTCAAATTAAAACCTTAAATAAATCCAAAAAAAAACTTCTATCTTTGTTCTAGTCTTGAAGGCCACCCTTTTGCTTTCCTGCTTCTGCACTTGCTGGGATGTGAGAGAATATCTTAACATGAAATACAAAGAGTTTCACGAATGCAGCCATGTGCAGTAATCTGCTCACCTGTATGTGTACGGTCCCATCTGAGTAACAGCTGCCCTGCCCCCCGCCAGAAACTCCTCTGGATTTGTGACATTATAGAAGTAATACTGCATATACACTGGGGGAGGGGGGTTCTTCCAAGACTCAAACACTCGACTCCCCTCTGTCAAAGTTATCTCCTGGGGATTAAGGGAAGACACAACACAATGAACAATAAACATTCTGTAGCTTAAATGAAAGAACAATAAGGATGTTTGTTTATAATGTTTCCTATAATAGGCAAATGTGTAATAACACGTGTCTGCAAGTAATTTTGTCTGCGGGTTTATTTACATACATTAAGATCAAAAAGAAGAATCAATCAGAATAATATTACAACTATCTCTGTCTGTAGGGGTTTCAGTTTTAGAAAACTAAATGAATGCCACTGATCAATTTTATTGGCCATCTCAGCAAGGCGTTTCCTTTGGTTTAACCACAGGTTGTGCAGAAAGTTTACAAGGGCACAACAGACAAATCATCCTCTTGGTTCCCACAGTAAAAAAAATAAAATAAACACAGCTGTCATAATTTCACGAAATCAGTCCAACTTCAAAGCACCAGGGAAAAAAGTAGCAGAATTGCTTTTATTCCCAACAGATGTTCTGTGAGCAGCGAAAGGTTGATCGTTCAGTTTTTGTAAATCTGTGGTAGTATGTGACAGGAGACACAAATGCCATCTGTTCTGGACTGTCATGAAGACTGCAAATAACAAAGATGGTTTTTTTTGAAGATATTACATTTATCAAGCTGCAGTGTTAATAAAGCTTTCTGGGAATGAGCCGCTTCTTTGTACTTATTTCACAACATTCATGAGTTACAGCTACAGCTGGAAAACAGCTGGAAAAGGATCAGCCACGGACCTTACACAAGAACATCATTTGATGTGTAACATATTTCATTTGTCCCAGAGCTTCCAGTTTCTTGAAGAATAACTACTAGTGTAAAAAATGATAAACACATAATATAAGGCTGATTTATTCAGGAAGCATAAACTTGTCGTAGGTGAACAGGTATCATTTCAACATCAGTAATAACATTTCTTGTTTGCTGTCATCCATAAGGACAGCAACTGTGACCTATTCCAAGATTAATAATGTTGTTATTTATAGAGCACTGATAATTACTAGAATTTAGAAGTAGATGATCAGCGGTCATTGTTGACGCACCACAGCACACAGCAACGAAATGTGTCCTCTGCATTTAACCCATATGCGACATTGTGACATAGCAGGGGGCAGCTAATTCAGCACACAGGGGCAGTACCTTGCTGGCGGGGCAATCAAACCATCAATCTTTCAATTACAAGTGTGCTTCCCTAATCATTAAGACACCACTGCCCACATGATGCTAATTGCTACCCACTACTAATTACTAATTACAAAGCAACCAGACAGTACAGTTTTATCTCCTGTAAATGTATTGGTGTGCTGGGTCAGAGGTGAAAATTTCAGGTCCAGAAAGTACAAATCCAGACCACGATTTTGTTTCAACAAACCAGCTGAGTACTCTGTGACTGTGACTCTTCATACTCAGCTGGTTGGTTGAACAAAATCTTGGTCCTGCAAATGCTCCTCCAGGTTGTTGGGGACAACCATGTGGTCACATGAATGCTATTTCATTGGAAAATACCTCAATCCTCAATCCACATACCACTGAAGCAAAAGAGGCTTACAAAACAAGGTTTTATTTGTTTTATCTTTGTTCACCTCTAATAAGAAACAAAAGTTTGGCTATTCTGACTAAAGAATGAACAAATAAGGTGATGAAGTAGTTTAGCAAGCATCATGGATGATTTTTTTACTGTATTTGTGAAGCTGCATTAGAATATTTGACCCAAATTGAGAAATGGAACCCGTGTACCAAGCAGATCATGCTGTCAAATGGGCTGAACAAATTAGCTGACAGTGTACTTTAGATGACAGAGAGACTAGAAGCACTAGCACAATTAATCAAATACAAAAAGAGGTTAAATAAATATTTAAGTTAAGTAGACCAAATGCTTAAATAAAGTCCAGAGATTATGTTTATTCTATGGCAATAATAAGGGAAAACCAGCTGCCTGACAAACAATATATAATTTTTCATTCATATTAAACTTCCATAAGTAATGCATACAAGCTGTAGATCGTTTTAAAACAAAGCACCATTAAAAACATATACCATGCAGACTATACACTCACCTAAAGGATTATTAGGAACACCATACTAATACGGTGTTTG